ACAAAAGAAGTAAAAGATCTATTCGATTAAACCTACAGTACTCTGAAAAAAGAGATAGAAAAGGATTTCAATAAATGGAAAAATATTCCTTGTTCATGGATAGGAAGAACCAACACTATGAAAATGGCCATACTACCAAAGTTGTTGTACAGATTCAATGCAATTCCCATTAAACTACCGTTAGCATACCTCAAAGATCTCGAGAAGACATGCCTTAAATTCATCCAGAACCAGAAGAGACCGAGAATTGCAAAAGCAATCCTGGGCAACAAGGACAAGTCAGGTGGAATAATCATCCCTGACCTGAAATTATACTACAAAGCTACTGTAAGAAAATCAACCTGGTACTGGCTAAAAAACAGACCTGAGGATCAATGAGACAAACTGGAAGAAACAGACACAACCACAAATACACTCAGCCACCTAAGCATTGACAAAGGACCAAGCAAAATCACTGGAAGAACAATAGCCTCTTTAATACATGGTGCTGGAAAAATTGGCTTGCCCCCTGCCAAAGACTGAAAATAGAACCAAGTCTATCACCATGCACCAAACTCAAGTCAAAATGGATCACAGATCTCACTCAATATTAAAACAGAAACACTAAATCTACTGAAAGAGAAAGTAGGTAAAAACCTTGAAGACATAGAGGGGTAGGCAGAGAGTTCATGAACAAAAACCAAACTGCACATGAACTGCACATCAAAGAATCAGCTACTGGGATCTCATCCTACTGAAAAGTTTCTCCACGTCTAAAGAAATCACCAACAGAGTTAAAAGAAAACCCACAAATTGGGAAAATATTTAGCTGACTGTCCCTCAGACAAAGGGCTTCTATCTAGAACATATAAAGATTTAAAAATATCAACCCCTTCCCAAATTCAAAGACCCAATCCAAAAATGGGTATCTGAGATGAATATATACTTCTCAGATAAAGAAATACAAATGGTAAATAAATACATGAGAAAATGTTCAATATCATTAGTCGTTCGAGAAATGCAAATTAAAACAACACTGAGATTTCATCTCACCCCAATAAGAATGGCTAGTGTTAAGAAATCAACCAATAACAAATGCTGGCGAGGCTGTGGAGAAATAGGAACTCTTCTCCACTGCTGATGGGAATGCACACTGGTGAAATCACTGTAGAAATCAGTTTGGAGATTCCTCAGCAAACTAGGTCTAGAGGTCCCATTCAACCCAGCTATTCCCCTTCTGGGTATTTTCCCAGAAGATCTGAAAGCATCATATCACAGTGATATACATGCACCCATGTTTATAGCAGTGCAATTTATAATTGCTAAATTGTGGAAGCAACCCAAATGTCCATCCATTGAGGAATGGATAAAAAAATTACAGTACTTTTATATAATAAAATATTACTTAGCTATAAAGAAAGATAAACTCAAGGCTTTTACAGGTAAATGGTCACAACTAGAGACCATACTCTTAAGTGAAATAAACCAGACCTCCATGTGAAAGCAACATATTGTCTCACTAGTGTAAGAACCTGAAAGAGTGAATAAAAATTAGGAGGTATGACAGACACTGTGAAATGAAAGGAAATGCTCAAAAGTAACAAGCAACTGAGGTGAGGGAAAAGAGAAAAAAATAGAAGGGGAAATTATGTATGTATGTATGTATAAACAGGATAGATAACATAGTTGTAGTACTGACTTCTATTGCTTTACTGAAAGGAACAGTTAATGATTACTTATTTGATCAATCTTGCATGTCTCTATTTGTTTTCCTGAGAAATCACTTTGAAGATATCAATACATTATACAACCATTGTTAATTTCCTACCACTTTGTCTATAACTCTGTATTGCTTGTATTCTTATGCTATTTTGTAAATGGATGTCTGTTTGTTAACATGTTTCCCTTCTTTTATTTTTAAAATAAATTTTTTTAAAAAGTCAAAAAAAGGAAGTTATTTTTTTTTTATTTAAGTAGTCAAATATCTTTTGGAATAAAAAAATCTCTAAGACTAAACCAGAAAAATAAGGCCTTATTTACTCTTTCTATTACTCTTCATTTCTTTGTATTTGTCTGTCTTTTCATCTGGTATCATTAAACTTTTAACATTTCTAATCATAGAAGCATGCTGGTAACAAATTCTCTAAGCTTATATTTGACTAAAAATGTCTTAATTTCATCTTTCCTTTTCTAAGAGTCTTTCTACTTGTCATACAATTCTAGACTGACTGACTTCTTTCAGCACCTTCAAGATACACTTCAGTATTGAGCACAGAGGAGGACGCCAGTAGTCCTGGCTACTCACGAAGCTAAAGTGGGAGAATCACTTGAGCCCAAGTGTTCCACAGACCTGGGGAACATACCTAGAGCATGCCTCAAAAACAAAGAATGTACTGCATTATTTTCTGGCTTGTATTGCTTCTGATAAAAGAAAAGCAATACTTCTACTTTTGATCTTCTATGTAGAATACCCTTTATTTCTCTGCCTAAAGTTTCTTTTTTCTTCTCATTGATTTTCATGAGAAATTATGCCTTATCTTTACCCTGCTAAGTTTCATCAAGCGCTAAGACTGTAGGTTTTTATAATTGTCAAATTTGAAAAAAATTTAGGCATTATTTCTTCAAATAGTTTTTCTTTCACTGGTCTCACCCCCAATACCTATCATCACTGCCACATCAATTTTACTTTTCCTAGTTTGTTATTCCTTTTTAAGGTTGTTCAAAATGTCTTATAATATCTTTCAATTCAGTATGCTTGAAAAAATTCAAGCTAGTGATTGCAGCAAGGAAAATAGATAAAAGAATCCTGGGTGAAAAGAGCCTGTGTCTGAGTTCTGCTTATGTTTCTGTCTGCTCTTTGAATCACAAATGAATAAAAACACATTCTAAACAGCCCAGTTAAAGATATGAATTGTGACAGAATCTGAAGTTTTAAATGACTAATGCGGGGGGGGGGGGCGTTCAGAAAAATACAACAGAATACAGCTTCCACAACTTAACTTTCACAATGTCCTCTATACATTCACAATGTGACTCAGTCAGCCTCAAAAGAAAGGATAATCAACTCAGATTAACCCTGAGATGATCTAGATATCAGAATTACAGAAAATTTAAAGCATTTGTTCTATGTTCCATGAAAGATAGGCAAATATTTCCCAATGAATGAAAAGATATGAAATCTTAGCAGAGAATCAAAACAAGAGCCAAATACAATTTTAAAAACTTAATGCCACAGGTGTAAAAGCAAAGTAGAAAAATACAGGAAAAGAGTGACCTGAAGACAGATTAATGAAAATTATTATATCTGAAGAACAGAAAAAAAGAAGAGCTTTGGGGACCTATAGGACAGTAATAAAAAGTTCTAAAATATAAGTACTGTAACTAGAATTTCAGAGGAAAATTAAAAATGACGCAGGAAAAAAACCTATGTTAGGAACATATCCTAAACAGGTAAACAATAAATACTGAGGGAAAGAAGCACCTGTAGATATATATCCTAAATATATATACATAATATATACTATATATTATATATATAATATATATGTCAATTAAAATCTCACCTATCAGAAACAACAAAGACTGAGAGAAACAATATCTTTACAGTGCAGTAAAACAAGCATAAGTTAGCTCAGAATTTCACATACATTGAAAATACCCTTTAAGAATGAATGCAAAATAGACTTTTCAACCAAAGAAAACTGTAGGAACCCATTCTAACACAGACTAGCACTGTAAGATATGCTAAAGTTCTTCAGCTGAAGTGATGGCACCCCACAGGAGAGATGAGGACCTCAACTTTCTCCCCAACACACACAAAATAGGTTCTTAAATCATCACAGAAAAGCATTTCAGGGCACTTCAGAGAGGTACAGGCAGATTTATTAAAAAGGAAGAAAGAAGTACACAATCAAAAGGAGTATAAGTAGCTTGAAAGTTAGCCTCATTATAGTTTGGGAGTATTTATGTGCTCTGACTCTGACAATGACACCAGAGGATATGTCAGAAAATTGTCATGAACTAAGAACAAGTATGTGCGCACCATCACTTGGCCATAGCCTTTCGTGTATGTCACTCTGGCACTTCAGCTAGCTTTTCCTTTGCAAAGGAGGCAATTTGTTTTCTACAGTGCAAGAAATCAGAGAGCAGTAAAGTCAGACTTATTGTTCAGTAGTAAATGCTGACTTCTCAATGTAAATCTAAATTCTACAAGTTCTTCATTAGCAATGACTAAAATAGATTATTATATCTTCAAATAAAGTTATCACTAAAAAACACACCTTCACAAATATAAATATTCCTAACTTTATTCGAGAAAGTCTAACTGCAAGGAAAATGAGTCAAATTTTCACATAATTTACAAACTACAACACAAAAAGAAGTATTACTTGGAAAAAACTTACGTAGCAAAAATTCCAATCAGCATAAATAATTCAAATGGCAAGTTAAAATGCTGACACCACGAAAATTTTAATTCTGTATCATTAAATGTTTTACAAAATTAAAGAAAGTATGTCATCTACTAAGTATCAATCAGTGTTTTCTTTTAGAATGAAACATACTTTAAGAGCTCACTTTGTCCTTTAAGAGTATAGATACTATAATGAAGACATCATGAAGTAAGTCTTGTTTTCCATCTTGACTTACAAGAGCAGAAAGTAGTATATAAAAATAAAAGGAAAGTACTCAATCTGTTATAGCACTAAATGGAAATTAATAAACAAATAAAACAAACATACATACACCATACTGTGTGGAAGAAAAATCTATAAGAAATAGAAGAAAACAAGTAGTAAAAACTGGAATGAAGTTAGAGGAGGTTACCTGTTTCAAAATAAAGGACTTATTTTTAAAAACTTAGAAAATGTTTTAAAGTAATATTCTATATATGTGAGGATAAACATAATTTAATCTTGAAAAGTATGGTGGGGCAGATCTTTAGAAATTTCTAAGACTAAAAAGGTTTTTCAAAATGAGTTAATTCTTCTAAAAAAGAAACAATCACATAAAATAGAGTTTACCTTTTTAGATTCACCATTGCCCAAGGAATCCCTGTCGGTGTATTAAAGGCAGGAAGGAGTTTCTCAGCCAGTTGCACTGCTTTAATCTTGAATATCTGAGATTTAAAAAAAAGAAGAATACCAATAAATTTTAGCACCAATTGTCTGCTTACTGCATCATAGTATGCATATCACAAGGAACTAGGTACACGGAGGCAGGGTAATGAGAATATTTAATTACTACCACAGAGCACACAGAACTAGAGCAAATGTTTGCAAACTAGGTCCTGAGAAAAGTAACCCAATATGCAAAACCCTGAAACTATAATTAACTGAAATGAAAGGACATGGTTTTGATGTTAATGTCATTTGTATTTTTCAGCTGGCAAAAACAAACATTAGGCTATGGAATTTTCATTCAAGATAGTCAAGCTTAGTTTAAATATTAAAATAAACAGAAGATGCAACCCAATTTGGCTAAATGCCATGGAATTACATAAACATGTCTGTCTATACCTCAACATTTTCTGTCAAGGTCTAACTGCATTATAAAAGAAAAAGTATTTGAGTTCACAATTCAAACTTACTTTCTGAGTTACCAGTATTTTAATATTAGGTCCCCTCTGGTGCTTCTTGGGTACACAAAACAATAAACTGCTGAAATATTTCCAAACTTATGAACTATTATCAAGATGGAGACAGTAAAATTTTTACTAATTTGCTTAGCATATCCCAATAGGTAGGTTTGTGTACTCTACTGTGAAGACCACTAGTTTACAGACTCCAAAATGAGACTGAGTCAGAATGTTTCAGAAAAAGTGACATGCTGAGGATATGCCTAGGCCTATCCACCCTCAAATGGATTCAAAATTGATCAATTATTTAGGATTCCACTTTGGCACTGCAGCAAAATATTTTGGACAAAATGCTATCAAATTTTTCAAATAATAAGTAGTTGGTAGAATGGAACATGTCCAAGTCTGAGTTAAGATTGTATTAAATGAAGTGTCCCAATATTACTGTGGGTAGAAAATATTAGAGAGGAATATGTACAAGTAGCCAAATAAATATGGCATTACAGTATCTTGCAACATTGTTATATATGTCAAACACTACTTTACAGTGTCAATATACTCATATATCTATAATTTACTATTTCTTTCAATATATACTTTAACATTAAAAACCCCAAAGAAAAATTTTTAACAATTAACTGATTAATTCAGAAAAAGAGATGTGAATTCAGTTCTCTTCATATTACTTTAAATGTCAGCAAAGAGTACCATTACAAGTACCATTACATGTTAAACAGTACTATCTCTGTTTACTATGAGGGCAAAGGGATCAAAATTTATCTAAGAACTAATATTAATGCCATATATTTATTAACCATACATTTAGGTATCACATCTTTTCTAAATATAAAACTAATATTAAAATGATACAATGACCTACAAATGTAAACTATATCTAAGTAGAGAGCATTCTCATTTCACATCCAGAATTGGCCAACAACATACTGCCTAATTTTTATACTACTTTGTGTAATTCGTAACAGTTAACACATATAGTAACCAATTACAGTAGAGAGTTCAAAAATAAAACACCCAAGTGCCCTAGAGAAAAGTTTCCTTACATACTACACTTACTTTGATTTATTACAAATATATAAACCTCTTTATAGGTTTATATATTATAGGTTTACATTCCCTATTTTCAGAAACAATTTTGAGAGATAATAGCATATTTAAAACACATTAGTTTTTAGTATATAATGTAGACAAACAATACAAAATGCAAAAAAAATGAAAGTAAAAAATAAATATCCAATTCTGTCCTCCAACTACATAGTTCTTTCTACAACACAATCAGCTAGAAGCTTCTTAAATATCTAGTAAATATTGTTTTAAACCAGTCCAACAGTATGTATGGTTCTGAGCCAATTATCAGTTTTATCACTTTACACACACAATCTCTAACATATATCTCTCTAACACAGAATATTATACATTTTCTCTTTCCCTAATACAGAACATCAGACATTTCATCTTTTTGGACTTGAACTCCAGACGCTGCACTTGCCAGGCAGGAATCGTGCTGCTGAGCTATATCCCTGGTTCCATATATTTCATCTTAAAGTCACTTCTTTCACTTATTGTATCATGGAAATCTTCCTACATCAGTCCATAAAGAGATACCTTACTTCCTGGTAGAGAGAACTTCCTCATGTATGGATAAACTGTAATATATTTAGTCAGTCTCCTATTAATAAACATTTAATTTGTTTCTGTACTATGTGGCAATGTTAGATATTCCACAGTGTGGTAATTCCAGAGTGAAAATGTTCTATCTACCAATACATACATTTGCACTTTTGGTAAATTACTGATAATTTGTCCTCCCCAGCAATTTAGGAATGGTTGTTTTCAAGTATCTTTGTTAAGACAAAAATCACCAAATTTTTGATTCTAAAATCTTATACTTGAGAAAAATACTCCACTGTCATTCTTCTTTGCTTACTTGCTTGTACATTCTTGGCAAGTGCTCTGCCACTTACCTACACCTCCAGCCCCCAAAGTCCACATTCTTCTTTTTTTTTGGTGACTTTGCTTTTATTTGCATCACTCTTACATGCAGGATTGTGATGTGAACAACACAGAACTACAGTGCTGTACTGTGCAGTACAATCAGCAAAAATCACAGTGCTGGATGTGTAACAAGGTACACTGTGCAAAACAAGACACTTAGGTCCTATGGACCAGATGCACAGAATTACACACAAAAAAGATGGCTGTAAGTCTGAACTGCATGCCTGGGTCCCAGCTGTCATTAGCCAGGTAGGTTGTTACAAGTGGACTATCTGAGACATAGGATTGTATTGTACATTAGACATCTCACTTACTGTTTCTCTCTGTAAATATTTATGAGTACAGCTGTGTTTTCCGAAATGTTTCTTTAGTAATAGTCTTCTCAGCTTGGTTCCATAATAATCTATGATGTAATTACTTCCATCTGAAGGTGTGATGATGTGCATGTCTTGATACATGGCACATGCACATGCCAAGACATGCACATGCATGTGGAATGTACTCTTAAAATTGTATTACAGTATCTAATATTAATTTCTGTACTCAACAATTCCTCAAACTATTTATTAACTAGTGTGTGTAACTCTATATTGTGTCTTATATCCTCCTGAATGATAGTTTGGCTAATATAAAATTCTGGATTGAGTTTTTTTATCTCAGCAGTTTAAAGATATTACTCTAATGTTTTCTGGTTTCTACTACTACAGAAAACTCTGCTGCCAGATTTTTTTTTTTATAAGTAACAGGCCTTTCCTCTTTGGTAGCTTTTTAATATTTTTTGGTCTTTCCTAATATCTTTTCAAATATTTATTATCATTTACTCAATTAAACTCATCTAATATTACTAGTAAATATTGTTTGAACCCTCTCCATATATTTTCTCATTCAACTCTTCATTTCCCTTCTTTAACTCTCAGTATTATATTCAAGATGAATTTTTCATTATCACCATAGGTGGAAGCAACTTTGAATATTAGACAGCTGTTTCTTAGGACCAAGTAACTGCAAAACAGTATTAGCACAACAAAACAGAAATACATTCATATATATTGCCACAGTTTCATTAATGTGGGCAAAGGATATTAGATTACTAGGTCAGACACAAAAGGGACTATTAATCATGGCAAAATAGCAGCCAAATTCATTTGCAACCACTGCAACTGCCCTACCTGCACCCTAATCTCACAGGGACCATGCATGGGACCTATGATAGATGCCTGTATACACAGTGGATTGTATTGTAAGAGAAGATACTAGACTTGGGGAATCTCTTTCATATTAAGCAAAAGCAAGCCTGTGTGTATAAGACATTACTTGATATAGTAAGCACAACCAGGATGACTTGAATATGAAGCAGCCAGTGACTTATTTCTTAGTCCTGTATACTCAGCAATAGTAGGCAGGGACACTCAGACTCCATGGCAGCCTGCTTTCCAAACTTTCATATCAGCACAAACAGCAGTTCCTTTCTGTAGGAGCAGGTAAATCCCAGCACTTGTTTTCTCAGCACTTGCAAAACCAACCAGCTTCATTTACCACCCTCATCTTTGATGTCAAGGAAATCAGAAACAGCATTAACCTGCCAGTATATCCTCACCAGAGGTCCACCTCTGCATGACCCTTTAAATTTCTAAGTTTTAATTCAAACTTCTTCCTTCAGCCCTGATTGCTTCCTGTAAGAGTCATTACTGTGATGCCTTATTCTTTTTAATCTACCTTTTAACTAATTAACAATTTTATGCTTAGTTAATAACTTGTTAAATTCCTTCTTTCAAAACCGGATGAATTCTGTTTCTTTAGAGACTCTGATAAATAATCCATACTGTATTATTATCTATGATAAAATACATACTTTTAAAATCAGGAAAAGAAAAAATGTTTAAATCATAAGCAGTTCTATCTTGAAGACTGCATCTGTACCAAACATGTACAGACTTTTTCTTACTATTAATACCTGAAACAATGTAGTATCATACTAATTTTCATAAAATTATCTAATTTATCATTATCAATTTCCTCTTTCTATTCTTCAATCTATTGCAACATGGCTTCCCTCCCATCATTTCACTAAACGTATTTTGCTAAAACCTAGCCACACATTTGCAAAAGAACATTTTCAGCCATTACTACCAGTTCCTCCACAAAAGAATTTCTCCCTTGTGTTCCACAACCCTACAATCTCCCTGTTTTCTTCACTGGCTCATCTTCCACTTGCACTTTAATACTGTGGTCTTGGGGGCTCTTAATTCTTTCTAGGCCCACTTCTCTTCCTACTCAAAACTGTCTTCTCGGAAATTTCACATTTGTTTTCAGCTATCAACTACACAGCTACTGATTTACATAGCTAGAAATTTGTATTTCTAGTCAGTATTGAAAACAGCTACAAAAGAAAATCACCCTAGGAATAAATTTAAGCAGTGGCAACAAGTTTCTAGAATAAAAACAGTAAAATACCGATGAAAGGAATTAGAGGACACAAAGAAATAAAAGCACACCCTGTGTTCACGAATTAGAAGAATCAATATTGT